GTGTCCCCGATGTCCCCTCCCAGGTACGGGTGCACGGAGGAGGTGCTGACGGTGGCGGCCATGCTGTCGGTGAACAACGCCGTGTTCTACCGGCCCAAGGACAAGGTGCTGCACGCGGACAGCGCCAGGGTGGCCTTCAGTGTCCCCGGGGGGGATCACCTGGTGCTGCTCAACGTCTACAACCAGGTACGGGCACACCTGGCGGGCTGGGGACAGCAGAGGGGGTTTGGGGACACGGCAGTGTCCAGCGGCAGCACTGACCCTGTGCCTTTGTGTGTCCTTGTGTCCCCAATGGCTGTCTGTCCCCGATGTCTCTGTCCCCTCTGTCCTTGATGTCTGTGTGTCCCCACTGTCTGTCTGTCCCCTGTGTCCGTGTGTCCCCGCTGTCTCTGTGTTCCCGTGTCCCGGTGTCCCTGTGTCCGTGTGTCCCTGGTGTCTGTCTGTCCCCGGTGTCCCCCTGTCCCGGTGTCCCCGTGTCTGTCTGTCCCCTGCGTCCGTGTGTCCCCGTGTCCCTCGATGTCCCCGTGTCTGTCTGTCCCGGTGTCCTGGTGTCCCCGGTGTCTGTCCCGGTGTCCCCGTGTCTGTCCCCGTGTCCCCGGTGTCTGTCTGTCCCGGTGTCCCCGCTGTGTGTCCCCGCTGTCCCCGTGTCTGTCCCGGTGTCCCCGTGTCTGTCCCCGTGTCCCCGTGTCTGTCCCGCTGTCCCCGTGTCTGTCCCCGTGTCCCCGTGTCCCCCCCGCTGTCCCCGTGTCCGTCTGTCCCGGTGTCCCCGGCGTCCCCGTGTCTGTCCCGGTGTCTGTCCCGGTGTCCCCGTGTCCGTCTGTCCCGGTGTCCCGGTGTCTGTCCCGGTGTCCCCGTGTCCGTGTGTCCCCGTGTCTGTCCCGCTGTCCCCGTGTCCGTCTGTCCCGGTGTCCGTGTGTCCCGCAGTGGGTGGCCAGCGGTCACTCTCTCCAATGGTGCTACGAGCATTTTGTCCAGGCGCGTTCCCTGCGCCGCGCCCGCGACGTGCGGGACCAACTGCAGGGGCTGATGGAGCGCGTGGAG